TATATATATAAACACACACACACACAAATACCAAAATGGCAGATTACACTTGATAGAAAAGGAGCAACTTCCTAAATCCCCTCCTGATCTGGAACAATTCATGCATGGTGAAATAGCTCTCCACAGCCCCACAAAGGCTCATTCACAGCAGTGTGAAATGTGAAACAAACACGCTGCCTGCCCGCCCGCCGTCCACGTAGGACGTGGCATCAGCATCAGGAACCTCACTCTGTTTTTTTTGTTTTTTTGCTACCTGCTCTGGGCCTTGGAAGCAGATCCGGCACTGGGGGGTCCGCAGGCTGCTGGCGGTGCTGGCCAGGGACACGGCGTCCAGGCCCACTTGCAGCTTGGGCTCCTTCTCCTCAAACGCCAGGCTCCGGGGCCGCGGGTCGCTGCCGTAGTACTCCTCCTCGTCGTCCCGGGAATGGCAGTCGACGAAAGGCGGCCAGCCGCAGCCGCCCATCCCCAGACCTCGCATAGTGGTGTTGGTGTTGGTGTTGGACCGTCTATCTGTGTCTGAGCTGGACTGTCTTGAATCGGATCGCATAAACACCAGGACTTTCAGTTCATTAAAAAACATGCGGATTCGATACTTGAACATGTTTGGCCACATAAAGAATCCGAAATAAATAAATTAAGTGTTTTTATCTCCCCTCCTCTCCCGCTGTTATTGTTATTATTATTACTATTATTATTCATACATCCGATATGTTCATGGCTACTGTAGTATGTTCTACGATGCCACAACTGCTAATTGGAAAATCCAGAGAGGAGATAAAGGCTCTCGCCCCACTGATGGCATGTGTGTCTAAGCCAATGCGGATGAAAGATTTTCCCTTTCAGCTGGCCGACACACTCTTTCAATATTCATTACTCAAACAACTCAGCAAACGCCGTCTATCTGCGTCTTCCACCGCACCCCAGAAAACATTACAACTTGCACGGGTTTTGATTTCCACGGTCCATTTTCCTGCGCTCTCAAATACACCTTTTGTTATTGTTGTTGTTGTTTCGCTTTGTTTGGTTTTGTTTTCCAAACGCACCGAGGCTCGCGGCAAAGAAAGAAAGAACGAAAGAAAGAAAGAAAGAAAAAAAACAGCCTACATGTTTTTTGCTACCCGAAGCAGAAGACCGCGAGAGAGTGGACGAGTGGAGGAGAGAGCAACACAGAGCCAGGAAATAGAAGATGGGATGTAAAATACAACGACATGCCATCCACACAGCCACATCTGAGACTCTTGTCAAGAATCATAATCCAATAAAAATAGAAAAGAAGAAAAATTAGGGTGCGGAAGATGAAATGGAAGTTTGATCTGGATGTGATTATAATGTCTTTTTTTTTGTCCCTCTCACTGTAGCATCCCAAGCGTCAGATCATGGTCCCCCTTTTTTCTCCCTTTTCTCTCTATTTCATCTCCTTTTTGTAAAACCCCGGCTTGATCCACGAAGAATCCGTGCCATTCACCCCGACAATCCACGTCGACATCAAAAACACAATCCTGTGCATTTGCATTTCTTCTTTCCGTCTCTCTTTCCCCCCTCTCTCTCAGCAGCCTAGCTGGAAACACGGCAGCACAAAAACACCCGAAAGCCCCGTGCTTCCCATCTTCGCTCGATGTCCATCAGCATTTCATTGCAAGCCCAGAACACGGGAGGCAACGCTGAAATGCCAGAGAGAGGCAGAATAATAAAGGCACCCTGCGATTTTTCTAATTAGAGAGAGACGGGGAAGACGCGTAAAGATGTCTTCGTTTCCGACAGCAATTACACGGCAGTAATGGCATTGATTATTGGATCAGATAGATGGTGGTGATGATACTGCTGGCGCTGATTTTCCTCCTCGAAATGGTCGGCTTGGAGATTGAACCAACGCAGCAGCTACTTCCGGAACAGGGAGAGAGGCGGAAAAAAATAAAAGACTGTCATCCCGTAAACACGTCGCTGCTTTTCCTCCAGCCATCCGTCCGTTTCCCGATGGTTGAAACGCCTATCCCCGTGCTCCCAGCGGCTGGGCAGGGAAGGAGCTCTGGCTGCTTTATTATTGACCAGGCGCCGCTGTCCAGGGTGCTGATCTCCCTCTGCTGACGTGCGCGCTGCGGCCACATGCGCCGGGAGCCCGCGAAGTACAAACCCGCACCAGGACCCCTCTGCTGGGGACACCGGACTAAAACTCTAGCAAAGGTTAACCCTACAAGTTCCGAGGAAGCTTTTTAAATAAGCAGATTGGAAGAAAAACTCAATTTAAAGAAGGTGCAGGATGTAACGAAGGTGTTTCGTTACTTGTTTAGAGTAATTTGTATCTTTGTTTTAGGTAACCCTAACCCCAGTGGACACTTTTCCGGACATATTTGCACTCTGCATTTTTAAGAAAACATTTACACATTAAGAAACATGTTTTCAAATATTTATTGATTATGTATTGATCTGTGTAATTCCTTCTGTCAGGCACTTGAGCAGCTACAGGTGGACAGATGCTGTAAGATAAAGACACAATATTAGCCACACTTGTAACTGTGTTTTAGTGTGGGTGCTGATTTTTAGTGCAACCTGTTTTCTCCTTTGTCTTCTCCAGGGTGTTCGGACCCCTTGGGACACACTTGAGAGTGCTTGGAAACACCAAGGAGGAAGTTGGTGGAGAGCTGCCACCTTAAGCTTTTAAATTTAAACTTGGATAAATAAAAATAAGAAAATGTGGGATGTGTTAAATCCTGTCTCTGCCTGCCGTGACTCTAGCTTTGCTGCTCAGTGGTCATTTGTCACAAGTACATATTACACATAATACAAAGAAGTCACAAAAAAGTAAGCCATACATCTTCATAGACATTGTGCCGTTTTTTTCTTGGAAGCGAGTGGAAGTTTGAAACCCCGGAATCTGAACAGAGACAGAGGCTATTTTTGTATCTGCAGCACTTACTCTGGCCAGTCACACATTCAGATGGATGCAAACTTGGAGTTTAGTATCTTGCCCAAGGATACTTCGACACATGGACTGGAGGAGTCAGGGATCACTCCACTGACCTTCCGATTGGGACACAACCAACTCTACCACCTGAACCACCGGTGCCCCAAGGCAAACAACACAACCAAAGACTGTGTTAATGAGTCCCGATAAACATGGTGCATAAACATCTGTCCTGTATTCATGTCTAAGAATGTTTTTTTTCAAAGACAGTAAATATTAGACAAATCCTATCCTTTTTCAGATGAAGTTTTGTAGTAAATTAATAACTAAAGCATGAGTTAGCTGCACAAATGAAAACAGTCTCAAACACTACACAGGCACAACTGCAGAGGTGTGGTAACAATGGTTAGAGCTACAGAGCTACATGGTTATAAACACATTAACCCCCATCCTGCTTTTTCTTAAAGTGTGTGGACACAAACACCACCCTATGGGACGAAGAAGACACAGAAGACAGACCAAACTACATCTGCATGACGAGACCAAACACTTTAATGCCTCATGAAAGAATCACAATCTAAGCTTTAGTAATTCTTTCATGAGGCATTAAAATGGCAAGGCATTTAGCTCAAACTTGCTTATCGGTGCTAATGAAACACGATTTAGAACTAAATCGTGTTCTTCTGAATAGCTTTGGCCACTCGGGTCTCGTTAAAACCAAGAGGAAAAATCACTGCAGCCTTATCTAACACAGGGTCAATATATCACCATTCAACAAGCAGAAACTGTTGACCACGTACAACAATGTGCTGTCCTTAACAGAAAAGTTTTGACTTAAATGATTGATTATGTACCCGATTTGTTTATGCTGCCTCCTAGTGGCCCTTCTTTGTAATGACTGGGCCAGTTTTTTAGCTTCTCGTTGGAGTGTTAGCTGGCCACGGAGAATGCAGCTGCACACATGCTGTGCCTTTGAGTTTATTTGCCTGTAATCAGCTCCTTTACTACTTTTGATAGCTGGATAGTGATTGATCTGTCATAGTGTTTCTTATTTCCTCTGACGTTTTAAATCTTATTAATTTGAAGAAGCTAACTGGAAGGTGCCATCTTGAGTAAGCTAGCTCATTACTGGTGTGTTCTGCCTTCTCGGTAAGCTGCGAAGTAGTTTGATTTATTTTGCTGAATCTGCTGCCATTTGCATGGAGTAATATGCTTGTATATTTCTGTGATCTTTCAGTTTTATTCCGCTGATATTTGTTCAGTAAACCTTGCAAAGAATTCAAGGACTTGTCGGTTTATTGGAACATGTACGTGTTAACTGGCTGTCTGGCTCTGCCTGAAATGCACTGCGAGGACAGCATACATCAGTATAACTTGAAGAGTGCAGATAATCAGTAGAGCAAAGAGGAAAAAGTTGTGACAGTTCTTTAAAAAAACTCTAGTATTTAGTGTGGTGAAATATTGTGTAATTTGATAGTTAAGTCATCTGAAATGTTAAACGTCTCTTGGGTGGAAAGTGATAATAACTCTTCGTGAGTTATGAGTTAAATAGACACAGCATTTTGGTAAAACGCTGTAATTTAAAAATTCTGAAATCAACTGGTTTAATACAACAGCTTAAATCAAACTAGTAGCAAAACTGCTGAATCAAGTACAAGTAATCTAAATTGTACTCAAGTGCAGTCATTTTTCTTGCCTCTGGCCTCATATCTGGGGTCCTTTCCAGCTTTTCTCATTACCTTTTCCAACCCTGACAGCACCACTCCGCCTGAGGGTCATTTCTGCAATACTGAGACCACATTTTCGTTATTCACTCCCAAAATTAAACTCTTAATGCAGTTTATAAGCCTCCTTCTCACATCCAGGAGTGAGTATTGAACCTTAAAAGAACTAGTTTGACATTTAGGCCATGTTCACACCCAGTATAGCCCTACAGTGAGATTCAGCACAACAACACTGCGGGGTTGGAAAAAAAAAAGTCGAACCAAACTGTTGCTGCAGGATCATCTGGCAAGATGTTGTGTTGGTCTGTCAAATACATGCTGCACTTCTACCTCACAGTGTAAACAGGTACCACAGGGTTTCCAGAGTTATAAAATCCTGTCTGACAGTAATGCATGGATTACTGAACGAGCCTAAAGATTCAGTGGGTGTGTCTGCAAAGTGTCCGACAAAGATACATAAAATGACAGTAGAAAGAGGCCAATCATCACAGGAAGAGAGCAAGAAAACTGTGTAGATACACAAAAGGAAACTTAAAATGACCACACAGTGACAAAAAACAGCTGCAGAGACTAAAACATCTACAAAAAACATAAAGTGAGAACAAAAATATATTATTCCTCACAAAAAGGAGGAAAAGACAACAATAAATGAAAACTTAAAATGACATTAAAGTCTCAAAAATTGACATCGTAGGGATGCAAAACAGCTGGTGAGCCTAAAGCCTCTAAATAGAGACATGGTGACAATGGAAAAGAGATAATGAAAACTATAAAGAGACACAAAATAACCACATGGACTCAAAACTGCTGCAACAACAGAAACATTTGTAAAGACACACAAAATGACAACACAAAACAATTACACTGACAGAACAATAACAATGATGAAATGCAAAAGGACCACAGAAATTGCAACAAGCACTAATCACAAAGAAAGACCAACAAAATAGAGAAAATGACAACAAAAGCAAATTAATGATCACATTTAGTAGATCACAACAATGATGGACAGCCACATAACCACAAAAGACTCAAAATGACTACCTAGAAATGCGAAACAGCCACAGAGTCGTTTCTGAGGAGAAACAAAAGGACAAAAAGAGGTAATCTGTCACTTAAACAGACAAAGACAACCACAAAGAGACATGGAAGGAACACAGAGATTTAAAATGACATTAAAGAGGATGAAGATGGTCAGGCAGAGACTCAAAACAGCTGGAGACAGTAAAACATCTGAAAAATGACACAAAATGACAACAAACCAGGGCAACACGAAGACAAAATACGAAGACAACAATGAAGAGATATGAAAGGACAACAACGAGACTCTGAAATGTCACAAGTCACACAAACGAAATGACCAAAAAAGATGCAAAAAGCAAACAGAGTTACAAGCAGATCACAAAGAGATGAAAAAATGAGGTCGGTCATCGCAACAAGAAAATAAGTCAACCATGAAAAGACATAAAAGGACCAAAAAGAGACTCATAGAGTCACAAAATGACAAGAAACACAAAAGAAGACCACTATGTTAACTCACAGAGTTGTAAAGGCCTTTTTGAGGGTCACGGTTGGATTACCGAATTAGCCCACAGGGCTCAGAGAGTTAACGAGTCACTGGGACCACATGCAAAGTGTTATACATTACAAAAACAGTGAAGAAAGATAAAGGAGCCAACAAGAGGCTCAAAATATCCCCAGAGTCACAGAATGACCACACAGAGATGCAACATTGCTACAGAGACTGAAACGCAAACAAAAAGACAAACAATGACAAAAAAAAGTGGCCAGGCATCACAGAAAGGGACCAACACAACTGTGATGATCAGTGGTCACATAAAGAGAGCACTGCAATGGTGAAGAGACATGTGATGGCCAAAAAAAAAGACACAAAATGACCACAGAGACACACAAAAAGCAGTAGAGAGTTCAAGATCTACAGGAAGAAACAATATGACAACAAGGAGGCCAACTGCCACACAAAAAGATAAAGACTACTGTGGAAATACATAAAAGGACCACTGAAAGACTTGAAATGTTACACACAACAAATGACCATAAAGAAACAAGAAACAAAAAAAAGACACAAATTGTCAACCGAGCTATGAGAAGACTACAACGAGATGGAAAAATGAGGCCGTTCAGCACAAAAGAGAACAAGTCAACCATGAAAAGACATGAAAGGCTCACAAAGAGACTCAAAATGGCTTTAAAGTGTTAGAAAACGAAAATGGACAAACACGAAGACTGTTAACTTTACAGAGTTGTAAAGAGCTCGGAGTCAAAGTTGGTCGGTTGCCACACATTTCAACTACAAAGAGACACACAATGACATTAAAAAAGAGGAAACCAACACAAAGGCCACCAAAAACAACAACAAAAGAACATCGAAGGACCGCAAAGAGCTGCAACATGAAAAGGCTTCAAATGACCACACAGATCTGCAAAAAAAGCTACTGATAAATGAGATAACGTTGAAAATCATCAGGAGACCAAGGCAACTATAATTAAATAACAAACGATGAAAGAGGTGCTTATAGCAGCCA